AGTAGATTTTAGATGCTACTTTGGGATTACCTTACCTTTTGATTACCCCTTACTGTTATTGTTCATATTAAATACAGTACATATTGAATTCAACTATCAGAAAGTAACTCATCATCATTGATTTATTGCAGTGGTTGTTTTACCCCTGAACTGAAATACCCTACAATCCCAGGCTAAATATTTCTGCTATTCCAAAGGATGAAATGGTATATCAACAACAACATGTTAAGGTTTATATTTCAGCTAAAGGATCACCTGCATCAGTCCGGGTGAAGAAGGGGACATCTGGAGGACACAGGACTGGTTTGTCTCCATCCCTTCCTCCCGCTCTGCAGTCTGCTGCCGCTGAGCTATGCCTGTGGGCACAATAGATTTGACACAAGAGTGCTGATGAATCTCATCAGTTTAATGTGTTTATGCTCGCTAAGCCCTAAAAGCTTATTGCTGTTCAATGGAGTGCTACAAAGTTACCTAATTTCCCCCCTGGTTGTCTCTTAGCGCGCTGGCACCGCAGACTCCCAATAACATGATGTACTCTGCAACCTGTGGAAAGACAGAGGCCACGCTGTGTCTCAATGATTTGTGTTATCGGCCAGAGAATAGACCTTGACAGAAATACAGATATTACTGGCTTTTTTTCCACCTTAAATTCAGCCCATGACTGTCTCTCTCCCTCCACATTGATCCCTTTTTACAGCCTTTTCACAGTAAGTACTTTAGTCTTATCTTCGCTGCTCCCACCTCGCCTGTCTCATATTCCGCCCAATAAGGCTGGCTGCCTATATGACAGCTAACACCCAGTATTAATTAAAATGTCATGCCTCCAAATCAATATTGTAAAACAGTTCAAACACAACTCATCACCACTGCTGTGATAAGTGCTTTCGGGTGACAGGTAAGTCTAAAGAAAGAGATTCAGGAGAATGGTATGACGGAATTATCCAGAGAGAACATGTAACATTAAAATGTATGACCCCCCCTATGCGTTACTTCATCACTCACAATTGCAAATTATCCACAGTGTCATGAAGTGTGCTGTGTTAAACTGACAGATCCATAAGTCAGCAGCAACAGGCCAGGAGGCTCGGCGCGAGAACTCTTTAGCTTCAGATGTCTGACTGCAATGCGTTAAAAGTGACTAATGCACACTCATTTGGGAAGGAGGCTGTCAGAGGGGGATTTATCAGCGCCGCTAAAATAGCTGCAATCCATCTGATTACGCTCATGTTAACTCTGCTCTGTTTGGACAAAAAAAGGAGGCAGGTTGTAACTAATGCTTCACAATTAGTGCAAATGTTAGTGCAATATAGGCTAGTGCAATAGAAAGCACAATATTTGTTACAAGCTAAATGCGTGATAATACTATTCCGAATTGAGGATTGTGGTGCAGCAGAAATATTCCGTCCGGTTATTCTCATTTTTAGGTTCATATTTGTGTCTCTGCTGTGACGTGTCTCCAAGCTTTAATGTTCAAAAAGCTCTTTATTTGTCTCATACTGCCTGTGCTGCAGCACCTCTTTTCACCCTCTGTCTGAAAACAGAGCCCAGTCTGCTCTGATTGGTTAGCTGGCCGGCTCTGTTGTGATTGGTCAAACACTTATAGATGTCCTGCTGCTTAGCCTATCACCTACAATGTGTCGGAGCACAAGCCAATAGAAGCACGAGTGTTACATAGTTATGTACGGAAGTAAACAAAGGAGTCCAATGGAGGCGTTTCAGGCAGATTTAAGCCTTTGCAGATCATTTACATGCACTAAAACCTATATATTATACAATACAGGAAGAGGAATAGCCCAAAAAGCATTTTAGGCATGAGATCAATGATGACAAATTATCAATCCTTCCAATATCGTTAATCATACCGCAATTACCTTTTCAGTCAAAATAATTGCAATTTTTACAAATTTCACAGCCTTCTATGACAAAATATAAAGGCTTTTGCCATGAAAAGTTTCTGAAAAAGCCAATAAAACAGAGAACAACTTCAGTTTTTTCGCAATATTCAAACTATTATATGTGGCAAATATGCTTGATTCAAAACTTTGTGAGGCTGTACGTGTTCACACATACTCATTGTAAGACATTGTTCAGAAGCAAGGCTCAGGATATGGATAGAATGTGACAAATTCTGTCAGAGTAAATATGGTTTAATAAATGAATTAGCTTCATAAATAATGGCTGTAATGACATTTTAGGGGACAATAAGCCTAAGCGTTGTCAGGAAATAGTTGATGTATGAGTTTCATGCCTCAGCGGTTCCTCAAAATGAATAGGCTCGGGAAGATAGCAGGGGCCTGCAACCAGCCTATTTCCTCGAATTATCTACTTGTTGTCAATTTGCACAGTGGAATTACACATGCAAATTGAACTGCCTGCACAAACACCACTTGGAGATGATAAAAACAAATTAACAAAGGCTATAGAAGGAGGATTTATTTCACTGGCTAACCCAGGTCAAGCAATACATGTATTTTACAATTGTGTGTACCCAATTTTGCTGTAATTATATCAGCAAATTATTCTTTGTAATCTTCTTATTTTTTCCCCAACCTTCTCCTTACACACATAATTAACTTCCTTCATGTCCCCGCGAAAAGAAATCAGCATGCCTCTGCATCAGTTTAATCTGATTTGAGGTTTTGTTCTCGTCACCTTTTAGCTGCAATCCAGAGGAAGGTGAGAGGTGAACAGTTTAGTGACACTGTTTAGTGTAACCACTTGGTAAAGGAGCAGAAGAGACAAATCTACATAGCAGAAGTCACATGTTAAAATATAAATAATCACCTCTTAACATCATCCCTCATATGCGGAGGGAAATTAAGAGCCCCGGACCTCCGCGTTTGCTATTAGATATCTCATTTACTTTGTACACACAGTGCTAATCTGCACTAATGAATTCTGCCACACCAAGCCAGATCGAGATGACTTAAAATTATTACCACTTCCACAGATATGCCTTTCCTCATTTGAGGCTCAATTTGGCTGGCTCGCAAAAACAGTCTGTCACAGTAAGATACTAATAATTAGGGTTTTAAGATGATTAGTTTATCTCTGTGCTCTTACAGTCCTGCCTCTTATCCGCCATGGCCAAAACTTAATAAGAGGCTCTAAGTTTTAAACAGCCAACTCCAAATTACCAAGAAATGACTGAAATAATGAACTGGAGCACATGCCAGGGAGGGAGACACAGAGAAGGGGAGAGAGGGAGACGGAGAGAAATGCATGGTGGGAAAGCTGAGAGACATTAATTCAAGTGTGAAATAGAACACAAAGTCTGGTAATCAATAAGGAAATGATTCAGACCTGTAATGCCAAAATTGTTTGGTATTAACAAGACTTTGTGACTCTCATTTACCTTCAGACGCTGCCATGCTCATCAACTTGTCACACAAGTAATTAAAGTCATGATAATGCTGAGTGAGTGATACCAGTTTCTGGTTCTATATTTTAGAGGATGACATGGAGATTTTACGTGTTCGAGATGACATTCAATATACTGTAGCATAAGCCTCATCAACCAAGTATAATTTGAGTTGAATATTGCAAAGCTGAACTGTGTAAATCTCCATTTTAGGGTACAAGAAGGTCAAGGGGATTGCAAGGTCTCCAGGTTGTTGCATTCAATGTCTGGCCCAATTTGTAATTATTTCCAGTTTCTGAAATATAGGATGCAATCAAAATGATTTGTATTGTATATTAACCTCGTGATTATCTTTTAAATTAATGTATTAATCACCTATTCTTTCAAATGTAAAGGATATTTGCATAAGCCAACCACAAGATCCTACAGCCTATAATAATGTCTTACAATATCTATCCTGACCAACAGTATAAAACCCCAATCCAATCCAATTTGAAATGACTTTGTTTAGTGTTTTTAATTTACAATAAGGGCAGAGGAAGCAGCAAATACTCACATTGGGGAAGATTGAAAAATATTTGTGACATTTTTACTTTCTGTCAATGCATCCATTGTGTAATTGGAAATTGTTTCTGTACTTATCGGCTTTAAGTCATAATTTTGCCAATTTCAGACTGTATTTCATGAAAGGCAAAGTGTCTGTATGGCTGCTTACATTTTACAAGTTTGGCCAATTGTGCTAAATGCAATGACTGGTATAATGTATCATACAATTAAAATATATAAAAAGAAGAATTGTTTAGGAATTAGCACCACATTATCTTCTTTGTATTAACCCAACTCTGATCATTTCAATTCTTAGCTAGTCCTATACAACACTATAGTTTTAACTGAGATTTTTTGTTTCTTCCAGAAACTTCTTCCAGCCAGAGTCCAGCCAACCTGAGCCTGACCTTTTTATATATACATTGGTTAGGTCTCACTTTATTCCTAATGCATATGGCACAGAGAATGCAGGCTATAATTTATGTAGATTATTGGCTTTGCAATAAGATGCAACCAAAAGAAAGCTAATGTGAATGAGTGTGAAAGAGCAATTTAAGGGTAGATGTGCCTGTGCCAGTGCCAGGGGCTATACAAGATTTGCATGCTAATCATTCTAATAATAATGTAATGCCCAAAGCACATTGAGCAAATTGCGAACCATTGGTCTTAGAAGGAAGCTTATCTCGCAGAGAACATGACACAAATATAGGTTAACATTTGAATGATTCCTGGTAATTCACGGACCTGTCAGTAGCCTGGCTCACCTCAATTAGAAATGCTCCACAACAGCCTGCTCTGGACTTACTTCGCTGCAAAGACTAGCTTAAACTCCTTAAATGTGTTCGACGCTTCTTTTCTGTGGTGTAAATATCTTTTTAACGGGAAGTTTACACCATAAAACCGCTCTTGACTTCTTGTCAAACAGAACCCCAAATTAACCCTAAAATGTTAAACGTTGCTCTTACCAAAACAACCAATAAGAGCCTTTGTATGGCCCTCGTGCTGCGCTTCTCACAACCGCTCTGATTGGACCATGTGCTCAACATGACTAGCTTCCAGCCAATCGGTCCTTCTCAACAGCAACGTCACAGTGTTTACCCGGAAATGAGAGCCTGTTCCAACAGCTGTAATCTTTAATTTAGCCATTTCTGACTGTTTTCTGTCCAGATAAATAATGCTTTAGCCTATAATCTGACTTTATCTACTGCCTCGATATGTATAGCGGTCTTTTGCCCAAAGGTTTCACCGAAGACGACCTCAGTCCGGATGACGATGAGGATGAAGCTGAGGAGCAGAGAGAGGGAGAGCAGTGTGAGAGCTCTGCTGAAAAGTTGAGCTCTGTAGGGGAAAACACAGTCTCTGTGAAAGAGACACAGTCTACTCACACTGCATGTGAATCAGACAATGAGTCCCCGACATGCAGTATGCCTGGTATATCTCAGGAAATGTGGCAAGTATGTTGGTTTGGTGTGCATCTAAGCTAAGCATTTATTATGTGAAATACTGTACTAGCTAGCTGTTAGTGTACCTGTTATCTTGTTAGTGGGGACTAAATATAAAAGAAAGCCCTGCTTGATCTTGAGCTATGGATGGTTTAAGAAGCCCTGTAGGACTTTGTGTATCATAATATAGACTATAAGATGTGTACATCAGAGGTAGATCAGGGGTAGTAGTTGTATTTTGTGAATGTAATGTGTGTGTGTGTGTGTGTGTGTGTGTGTGTGTGTGTGTGTGTGTGTGTGTGTGTGTGTGTGTGTGTGTGTGTGTGTGTGTGTGTGTGTGTGTGTGTGTGTGTGTGTGTGTGTGTGTGTGTGTGTGTGTGTGTGTGTGTGTGTGTGTGTGTGTGTGTGTGTGTGTGTGTGTGTGTGTGTGTGTGTGTGTGTGTGTGTGTGTGTGTGTGTTAGAAATTCCAGGATCTACGGAAGAAAAATAAAAAAATTAAGACAATGAAGGTCCCCCAAAAAAGAAAAAGAAGACGACACAAGAAAGGTATCCATCATAGTTACTATAATGCAATGAAAATGTAATGTTTGATACAGTATATTGATGTTGGGCCTTCCTTCTGTCCGGCGTGCATGTGTGAAATGTAAATATATCATTTCAGGATCTGCACAGCAAATTATGTTGTACAACTTGCAAAGACATCAAATATTTCATATTCTGGTCTTAATATTGTATGTAACAAATCACCCTACTGTCCCTCCTAGTATTACATTACATTAGTTAGACGCTTTTATCCAAAGCGACTTACATACTCAATATTGTGGGCAATCGACATGCTGACTGCAGTGGGACTCGAACTTGCTATCCCCCTGATGCGAAGTCCAGCACACTACCCACTGAGCCACAGCCTCCTAGTAGAGATGAAGACTTCTGTTTAGTGATGCTCATATATTTTACAAATATTTAACTGTGTCTCTTATGTCAATCAACAGGAACAAAGAGTGAGGAAACTACAGAGACAAGGTACCTTATAATATAAAAAAATTCTAACCAGAGAACTGATTTTTTACAACATAAATCCGCATCATTCTTCACATGCAATTGTGTAATCTGGAAGTGTAGTGAATATAGCCAAATCTCAGTTGTCTTGCAGCCCTATCATATAATGATAAAAGACATGAAAGCTGTAATGTATGATCTAATATTAACAGTTAAGTTTAGTGCTGGTTGACCCTCATTACTAATTGACAGGAACATAGTCTGTAGGGACTTGGCTTGGGAACCGTAGGGTCGCCAGTTCAAGTCCCCGCAATGACCTTAATATGGAGTGTAGACTGCTACTTGGAGAGGTCCACGTTCACCTACTTGGCACTGCCGTGGTGCCCTTGAGCAAGGCACTGGACACCCAACCCCTCCCCCCACCCGATTCCTCCCCGGGTGCTGTACAATAGCTGCACAATGCTCCTAGTACTAGGATGGGTTAAATGCTGAGGTCCAATTTCACTGTGTGTGCTGTGTGCATGTACATGTGTGTGACAAATAAAGAGGGTTTCATCCTCCGATTCTGATAACTGAATGGCTTTCGCTGGCCCAAAATCTATTGCATGCTATAGACAATGGAAGTATATATGATATTTATTATCACATCCACAAAATAGAGATCATTTGTAGTAAAGCAATTATTTACTTCAAATCAAATCAAGTTTTATTTATATAGCACATTTTTAAACGATTTTTGGTCGAGCCAAAGCCACAGTTTGTTCAGAATATCAGTATGAGAAAAACGACACCCTCTGTCCTTAGACCCTCACATCGTACAAGGAAAAACTTCCGGAGAAAAAACCCACTTATTCATCTATCCATCAGTAATCTCTGAGCACCAATCAGCGTAGCATCATAGTTGTATTGTGTACTTTCTTTGTGTGTACAATAAGGGTGGTTCAATATGCCAGTATTGACCATAAGCATTATTTTTAACGTATCAATGTCGTTTCTTTCAGTTTTTTCGCTTACACAAATTATACAAAAAACTATGTTTAAAAAAACAAATTAAAACACCATAGCAATCGTTTGTTTTAGTTTTTTTCAAATGTTCTATACTGTAGATGTCGGTGTTACACAGCCCTAGTGAACAATATGTTTTATGCCTAAAATGAAACAGAATGTTACTAAAGAATTATCAGGGAATTAGCTTTATATATCATAAAATATTGTATTTGTTATTAATGAATCAATGGTGTTAGTTAGGTACATCATATTGTCTAAGTGAAATATTGAAAGTAACTACAGCTGTCAGATAATTATCCTGCAGTAAGAGGTACAATGTTTACCTCTGAAATGTAGTGCAGTGCATTCGAAGTAACCATACTGTGTGATAGATGCTTATTCAGACTATAGTAAGATGGACAGTATTAGTCTGCCTTATCACAGTGCTGGGCTACATGTAATACATGAACTCTTTTCCTCTGTCAGCAGAGAGCATCAGGAGGAGCATGAGCAGCACTGGAATGAGCTTAAGCAGCATTTCGGTGTAAATGATCGATTTCATCCCCCTGCATGTTCCAAACCCCCTCCGAAGGTAACAAAGACTCCTGCCTTCCAACTTATCTGCTGAGGTTTAATACTGTGTCAGTCGAAGCTGTTCGTAACACCTTCCCATCCTTTGTGTTTCCCTGACACTGTATCCTCTCATTGTTTTCTGTGATATGGATTAGAATACTCTCAACCTGACACTGAGATGAATATTAGGGATTATGTTTGGTTACATTTAGTGATAAGATTAGGATGAATCTCCTTTCTTGTGTGTGTGAGATTAAAGTGAAATGTAGGTTTTTTTTCCCCTCTGCGAAAAAGCTAATAAATGTAGCTTGACAAAAGAATAGTACCTGATACAGCCTCAGTGACTGCAGCTTGAACATTTAAATGAATGGTTAGATAATAGACGGGCTTGTGTGGAATTCATCACTGAAAGAAATTATAACTTTCTTTCATTGGGATACATTTCTGCACTTGAAGATGAATGAACATTTTATGCAAACGCTTGCAAATTGCCAATGAAGCAAAAATATTTGCAAGCTTGATGAACATTATAGCTGACCCACTGAAAGGGAACTGTGCTCAATTCAATTTGAAATCCTTTTAATGATTATTTTGGAGTATTTTGTGCTTAATTTATCTCAGAGCAGCATAAAATTGAGGTTTATTTTTTGCTGATTTTAGCCTCATTTTGAATAAGACCACTATGAAAAGAATAAAAGAAATGATTAACAAGCTGAATGAAACAGAACTTGTCACATCAACATAATGAGGGGCTCCTTTATCCCTCAAATGCAGGTCTTTGTAATTAATATATCATATTTGCTTTTATTCCGACAAGTCTTTCACAGTCATTTGAGGAAAAAGCTTACAAAGCAGCCAGATTTCATTAATTCATCTGCAACAGCATTTTACTTCAGTGACCTTAAAACATGTTTCGTGGCATAAAGAATGCTGTCAGTTAGAGTCTTGTTAGTGAGATACAGTAGACACGATGATTGAGATCACAAGTCGGGTCTTATCAGTGTCAGATTTGGTTTTTATAAACGATAAAAAACATAACAACCAACTAAAGTTACAGAAAATAGTTATAATTGTGGGTTTTTAAGCCTGATGGTATCGTCCTTGTACTTTTACAGTTGAGTCAAGGTCCTCAGACAATACATCAGAGGGTACACATTAATAATTACAGTCTCTTTCCAGTGTAGTTCTTTAGCTTGATGACATTTTGGGGGCTGAAGAAATCCGGTGCTGCTCTTCCTCAGATAGGCTCATCACAGCAGAACTGCCATCAGTAACCGGGGGCCCTCTCCGCACCCCCTTCTGCTTCGGCCTGTAATGGAAATGTGTAATTAAAGAGTCACATGTATGTTTGGTAATCTCCTGTAGCATTTCTAAGATTTCCCCACTAATATCCAATCAAAAAGGTTTTCATTTGTGAAGGGAAATCTACATATTTGTAGTAATGGCAATCATATTAAAAATAAGGCCCTGGGGACTTTTGAAGTTACTCTTTGATTTTTTTCTCTCTCTACCCCTATTTAAAAAAAAAAAATCTGAATTTTTTTCCCTCTTCTGCAGTCCGGCCTAGAAAAGAGCATAGAGGGGGCCATCGCTGAAGGGGACATTGCAAAGGCGGAGGAGATGAGCGACAGACTCGCCACTCGAGAGGTACGTTGTGCTGATAAGAGATCTTTGGGGTGCTCCCGCTGTGACAAATCAGTCTAATGGATCCGTGGCCATTTCTGCTGCAAAGACATAGAGGAACAAAAACACACGCAGACACCCACCATTCAGTCCTGCAGCCCTTTTCCATTGCGTTAATGGAAAGCCCTCCCCTTAGTTTTGAAGTGCTGCAGTGTCTAAAGGACTTTTGGCTCTGCTTTTTAATGAAGGGTACATTGCTTTCAAGCCAACTGTTAAATCTTTCTCCAGGTAAGAGTTTCATACCTTTGAAGTGTACATGTCCCGTAAATGCAGTGCCTGAAGTTTTGTAACTAACCGCCTTGGCAGGCATCAAGGATCAAGTGGTTTGAAACTAATTTAGCATAAAATGTAGCCCACACACACATATAATTGTGGTTTAAAAGACATACAGCTGCAGTGTTACTTCTACAGCGGGGGAATTGCCGTACTTTGAGCTATCAGCCAGTTAAAAACAGGAAACGGGATGAAAATAGCTTGTCTGCCTCTGTAGGAAGGTGACAAAATATGGCCAACAACTCTAAAGTTATCTAAGTAACACTTTATATCCTAATTTTGTGCATTTTTTTTCTGGGGTGCACTAGTAACTTCCTGGAGTTTCCATTTGTAAATGTTTCTCATGATATTCATGTTAGTAGTCAACCTCTTCTATGTCACGAGTCTTGGACCTTTGACTTTATCTGGAAGCACCACAGTTTGTGTCTTCTGCATAGATGAATAATCCAGGCCCCTCCAAATAGTCAAAGTTGGCCAACTGTAGGTCGTTTATTATTGTACATTAGAAAGATGAATGGGAAATATATTTCTGTAAGCAGAGGCAGTGATCAGAAATTGCAGTAGAAAGCACTATCTGACCTTCATACTAGATAGTTAGCAGGATAATAATATTCTGCAAGAAATTACTTCAACAAACCGGGGAAAAAAAATCATTAATGTCAGTAAATATTTCAAACTTCCCCCTCGTGAATGAATAAAAAGGCACGAACAACAACAAATGAAAGCGTTTTATTCTTCATTGAATTGGCATTACATGCGTGACCCAGGTATCTCCAGTGTTTAATGGACATTAGTGTGCAGCGTCAGAGCCCTTAAATTCTCCTCTTAACTGCTAGCAGGGTGGTCAAATATGGGGAAGTTAACTGAAAGCTCTTGTGAGTGGCACCTGCGCGGTACTTTCAGAAAGCCTCTTAGAGCGCTGGTGGATTGGTTTTAGTCTGAGCCGAGGTTCTCGCCTCCTTGGCACCTGCCTCGCGTCTTGCCAGCACCGTGATGGGACGTGACAGCAGTTTGGCAGCCACAACTCATTGTTTAGCAGCGATAACTTCATTTTACACAAGAGTGTAGTGAGTTGACCATTTTGAAATCCCTTAAAAACTGATGCGACGTTCTTTATCTTTACTTTTGAATACAAAGAAAGGCATTGCTGAGCATAGCGGGAGTTTGAAGAGAAGTGGCAGCTAAAAGGCAAAAAGTTTGACACATTCAGTTGGAAAAGGATTCTCTTATTTGTTAAACGATGCAGCCTGAAATGCAGATAGCATTAAGACCAATGTTTGTTTACAGCACTCCTGTTCACTTTTGACAGGAGCAGTGTGACAAACATTTAGACGATCAATAATCCCCGCTGTGGCCAGAATCAATTTCAAGGTTATAATTGAGTGGCTCATTTGGTACGGGACGGCTTAGATGTTTAATTTGTTTACGGTCATAACACCGAGACATGATTGTGGCAGGCTTTTTACTGGAAGAATGGGAACAGGTTTTCTACGCAAAAAATGCAAAAGCATTCCGACAGCTGTGAAGAACTAAAGAGGCCTGTTTGTCCCTCTAGGCATTGTTTTGTTAGGAAAACGCTGGTACATGTTAGACGACAATGTTTCAGTGTATTTTCATCCTCAATCTAACAGCTTCCCACTTATCTCGTTTAAGCAAAGGGAAATGGAAGGAAGATGGAGAGCTTCCTGTCAAAATCCCCTCTTTTACGACGGAAATGTTTGTTTCTGCTGTTTTCAGCTCCCTCAAATCAATTAATGATTTCCATTTGCTCCACTTTCTTCTTTTTAATCTGAACATTAAAACAATTTGGTAGGAAAAACTGTTTTGAAAGCTCCTTACAAATTCTGAGATATGTGTTCTTTCATCTGTCAAACTTCTGAGACGCACTGCTCGGATATTCCAGGTTGTTTTTTTTATTCTCATTACAGTTTTTAAATACTTCCCAAGGCTCTAAGTCTTTGTTTTAGATGAATTCATGAAGACATGCTCTGCTTTTAAGTGAAAGTATTAACGCCCCCGAAGATAGAGCAAAGAAATCATCCCCTTTTTAGGTATCAAAATATTATTTATGTCGACAAAGCTCTCTGATGTATTCATTTAAACTGTGTTGATAAGGTTTATTTTCTCATAAAGATGTCTGTTGGCCCTTCTGGGTTTATTTTCATGTATAAAGCTTCTCACCTCTAAAGGAGGTCTACTAGTTCAGTAGATTATAAGGTGCAAGTCCTCCAATTAAGAAGACTGGGTCTCCACCCTTTGATTACTGCACATTATTTGACACTGCTGCTAGTTGCTAATGAATTCAGCAATTAGCATAACATGGAGTGACTGGCACATATAGTATACACGGCTCAGTGTGTCAGGAGGCTTGATCGCATCCAGCAGCTCATATTTGACAGATTGATTTTGCAGCTATTCCTGGGAACTGAGTCAGTGCAGAAAGCTGATAACTCATTAGTGAAACACAGTTTCCTACGTCATCTTAGGCCCGGACACACCAAGCCGATTTTGTCCGTCGGTGGGCGTCAGGCCGACGATGAGCGTCGACACGCCCTACTCAGATTGGTGTGTCCCGCACCGTCGTGTCTTTTCAGCCGTGCCGACACCTTTTCGGCCGACTGCCCACCTATTCAACATGTCGAATCGGTGGGCAGTCGGCAAAAGAAATCACTCTGATTGGCTGTTCAGCTAGCGAATCAGTGCATGAGAAGCGAAACGGAAGTGAGGGACCCAAACAAACTATTAAGAAGGCAAATCTGAGATTTCATTTAACTCCAGCTCTCGACACAGGTTCGGGAAAGCCCCATGAGCTTCTCGTTGTAGAGTGAAAATGGAACGCACACGCTATTTGTTGTTTGTTTATATCACGCAGTCTGTTCTTCTTCTCTCGGTGTATCACGCAGTCTGTCTTCCGGTTGTTGCCTCTTTTGAATGATGAATACACACTACCGCCGCCTGCTGGTAAGGAGAGTTATTGCCACTCACGCATGCGCAGTTCGTACGTGCTTCTTGGCCGTCGGCTGAAGTCTTTGCGGTGTGTTCCAGTGCGAAACATGGCCAAGACGCAGAGACGCGAGGCGACACAACAGTCGGGGGTCCGTCGGTGTCAGTTCTTTGGTGTCAGCTTGGTGTGTCCGGGCCTGAGCTACAGGGACATTTATAATGTACTGGTTCAGTATGTTTACATAAAACAAAAGTTATACAGTATCTCTTTCCATCCATATTTAGGCATGTTATCCGAATGATGATTATGCCAAGTACTGTACCTATGATGCTTCGTCCTATACTCACATTTTCTTCGTGTTATTTTGTCCTATCTGCAGGCAGGTCTGTAGTTGCTTAGAAAGATCATAGTAGTATAAAACCTGCAAAGGGAATTCTTGATTGTTTCATGCAATGTCAATAACTGGTAATAAACTATAGTAATAATACGAATATTGTTTTTCATTGAGCATTAGGTTTTGCAAAGATTTCTTGAAGCTTAAAATCAACATAAAAAAATAGCCCAACAATCTTTTATTGTCACCTTATTGCAGATGACATTGAGACATAGGGTTTGACAATTTTTTTTAGGCAAATAGAATAGATAGTCTTACCCAAATGTAGTGAACTGTTCTGGATCTCAACATACACAATTTGAATTTACAAGACAGATTTGTCAGCATAGAGAAAATGTTCACAATCAACCACAGACGGAATTTCAACAACATATGTTAAGAATAATAAGGGTCTAAATGTGGATCCTTGTGGAACTCCACATGCAACGACTTCTATGTATGGCCTAAAAATAACTTGGGTGATTCAAACCAACAAGCTACTAGGTTATCACACACATTAGCTTCAAACATATTTAAATGAATCATACATCTTTTAAGGTTGATATTATACATATGGTTTTCTTTACCCAGATCGGTAATGATACAATTATGAGCTAATTGAATGAAATTTGATGAGCCCATGCAGAGTCAATTTGACCTGGTGTTGCTGTACCCTAAATAAAGACAACGGCTTCTGTACACCACTTTCTTCGTCACACATATTAACCTTCTCATTGTAGTATTACTTAAAACATTATCCTTACCATAAATAATTTCTTCCTCGCCCTTTTTTCTCTTTGTAAAACAGAGCCACTGAGGTCTTTTGAAATAGTCAGGAGCTGTACTTTATATATAGTAAGTGGGCATATTTCACCACAAAAGACTGTCACGCCATGTTAGAGCTTACAGTTCCCCCATAGCACTCATCACAGCTATTAGAGTGGCATTACCACTTCAAAACAGAAACTCTCTTAGTCTATAACAATAGTCCATTTCATTACTTCCAGAAGCTAAAGAATATGGAAAATAAAAAGTAGTTAAATGGCTGCTGGCCTCTTAAACCAACAGGAAAGAAGAAAGCATGCAATGGCACCAAAGAAACAAAGAAACATGTTCTAAAAAGTTGCATTTGTTGTTGGTTTGTGAAGGGCGAAAGAGCCAGGCACTACGGAGGTTGAGTATATTTCAGCCACAACTGGTGTTGCACAGTTTTTTATTTAAAACACTTTCTTAAATAGAACGTATTATGCTTATTTCCAGGTTCATAATTGTGTTTGGAGCCTCTTCTATGACATGTTTCCATGCTTTAATGTTGAAAAGGGTATTTTTTTACTCATACTGCCTGAACCTCTTTTCACCCTCTGTCTGAAACCA